GCACAGCAATGACGTAGAGAGCATAGCAACCGCCCTGGGAGGGCCTATGGGCCATAACAACCAGTTGACCAATCAACACAGGGCAAGCCCTCCAAGCCTGGAGGCACACCAATCGTGAGTCTGTGCGTACCCCTAGACACTCCCCTTACGCTGTCCTATAAGATCTCTTGGGAGGCCCTAGGAGCCGTCTTTTCTAGCCATCCACCATGGCGGGTGGGTGAAAGACCCGAGCTAACATGGGGTTAGCTCGTTAAATTACAATAAAGCCTCGTGCAGTTTGCAGCAAGCTCTGGAATCTGCCTGGTGATTGGGGTGACCGCGAACGTGGCCTGGGACCCCGGATACTTGAGTTTTCGGAGGTCTAACAAAGCAAGTTTCCAAACTGAAACCCAGAAGGAAATCCTGTACCTCCACTGATAACTCTTTAGCTGGGCTCCTGTTTACAGCAGGCAGAGTGGCAGGATCTCAGGTCTACAGGGACTCTGTGGAGGGGGTGGAGGCAGGCTCACAGCCATTGTGAGCAAGAAAGGGCACACACAGTACCTAAGTGTACCGTTAGAGCTCCCACAAGGAAATAACTATTAGAGAGTCACACAGTCCGTCTGAGTTTCCCACTAACATGTCTCTTGAATTGGGCTTTAGAACCCGGAAAACAGGCTGGGCATGGTGGCACACGCCTTTGATCCCAGCACTTGGAGGCAGAGGTAGCTGGATCCCTGTGAATTCCAGGACAGCCAGGGCTGTGTTACACAGAGAAACCCTGTCTGGGGTGGGGGTGGGAGTGGGGGTGTCTCAAAACCAGTGTTCCTTATTGAGATATCACTCTGCCATGTGATTCTGAAATACACACTTGGGCCAGAAATATCCATCCAGACTTGTACAGCGACATGCAAGGATCAGACCAATGAGCAGAGCTTGAAGGCAAAGAGGAGAAAAGCTTTTTATTGTGCATAGGGTTTGTTCTTTTTGTTTTTTTTGGGGGGGGGTTGGGGGGATTACTTGGGATGGGGTCTCACTATGCATCCCTGGCTGACCTGGCAGATCAGGCCAGCCTCAGACTCACAAAGATCTGCCTGCTGCCTGTGTCTTCTGAGCACTAAGATTAAAGTCACGCAACACCATGCCGGTCTCATCCATATGCTATTAAGCAGGCATCTAATGATCTGTGGAATTACAACCTCAAAACAGACATTAGCAATGGGCGTGCGGGTCAGCTGATCTGACCCACAAAGATCCTCTGTGAGTTCTTTTCTACGAGACCAAGACCTCAAAGGCAAGGCTGCCTTGGAGGGACAAAGTCCATGCCTAACCTATCTACTGAGCAACAGAGACAGGGGAGGCCCATGCTCTTCAAATTACGGATGTTATGATTTCTTGGGAACTTTTCCATACTGTTGTCTACCTCAGGCCGTATGGTGGGGGATGCTGGTTAGTTTGATAAAAGACATTCTGTTCCGCAGAGCTCATGGCATTTCAGAGCTCATATCAAAGCTTTGCAGCGCACGCTGGCTGGCCTCAAGGACTGAGACCTTTTCTTGGAGTGAAACACTCATCTCTCTGCCTTTCATTCTGGCGCTTCCCTTCCCAGTGAGTACCGGACTCCTCCCAGTGACTCTCATGCCACAGGCAGTGCACTAGCATCCGGGAACACTGTCCATGTGGACCACATTGTTGGCTAGGTGGGGTCAGGGACCATGCTCTCTGCGCTGGTCCACACAGAAAGGATTGATAATAAACACTCTTGTTCAGTGTTTCACTGGCACAATGTGAGCATTTTGGGATTCATGAGCTAGAAATCCCTTCTGAGCCAGAGATATTTCTAGAATGTTTGCTGAACTTTTCTAAAGCCATTCATGTGACCGAGGTACACAAAGGGAGAGGGAGATTAGATATAAAAGCCACGCTGAAGTGTCCAACAACTTTCCTTGCTAGAGACATAGAAGGTCTATGCCCATGAGCATGGTGTCTGGAGGAGAAGGACCACCCTGAATGTACACAAGAGATTCCTGCTGAGGAAAAGTAGAAAGGTCAAGAAACAGAGAGATAAATAGGAGAAAAGGAAAAGATAGGGGAATCAAGAATTGGGGGATTAAGAGGTTGGTTATCCTCCCCAGCCAGTCCTAGGTGTAGGGTAGATGGTCAGAGAGCAACAATGTGTGAGGGCCACAAAATGGAGAAGAGCCTAAGTACTACTCAAATTCAAAGAGGAATTTAGAATAATAAATAGAACTGCTAGCATCAAACTTGTTTCATCGTGGTACTCAGTAACTCAGCAACTTCTGGTTCCCTAGCAACATGTTCTCAGAGCCTTCTCTTTGCAAAGATGCCCATCAAAATCTCCATCTCTTGTCAGTGATGGAAGGTACAGGCAACCTATATAACCCTCTGCTCTATAAACCTCTGTAACATTCTCAGAGGGGGGCATCTCAGTGAAACATCTCCATATTCTGTACAATGATCATGTGTGTCTACATTTCCATATTCTGTACAATGATCACCTGTGTCTACATTTCCATGTTCTACACAATGATCACCTGTGTCTACATCTCCATGTTCTATATAATGATCACGTGTGTCTATATATTTTTGTTTGACCCAGCTTTGCCTACAATCTTTCCTGTTTTGGATGTTTGGAATTGCTCTAGTTATCTAACTCCTACAAGAGCAGAAAATAAAGAATAATAATAATAAAACCCCAAGGAAGGCTGAACGGAAGATGAAGCAAGCTGGATGAGCAGCTATGGACTCTTTAAAATCCTCTGTGAGTTGCTGCTTTACCAAGTGGCACCCATCTCATCTGAAGACTCTTCTAGACATAACAAAGCTCCTTGTCACTAAAGGAAGAAGACTCTATTTCATCAGAGACCTTTTTTCCTCTAACTAAATGCTTTTTCTCTACTTCTCTTCAGCCTGAACCACACTGAGTTACAGAGAGTCCATTGAGTCCTAGCATGGCCACATTGAATGGTCGTTAATGCTCAGGGCTCCACGTCTGTGGGGAGCTAAGGAGCTAGGTCTGACTTTGGCAAGTGCTTCCTATTCCTTTACTTCCCACATTGCCCCATCTCTCCTTCTGAGTCACACTCCGTATGCTCTCCCATCCAGGACTTACCAGTTTTAGCACCTGTATGACAACAAATATTATTTCTTCCCTTTCCTTATGTAAAGTGTGAGCTAAAAACAATGAAGAAGACACTTGCTAAAAGGTTTTGTTGTATCGATAGCTTTGGGCAAATACCTAGACAGACAACCATCTGTGATAAAGGTCCTTATTTTGAGACATCAGAAAAGTCGTGAAGCCTTTGGAAGGTGGACCAAGTGCTCACCAGCTGCTTCTCAGGTAGGCAGTGAAGAGAAAGGAAAGACAAGCATAGCAGGAACAAAGCATAGAGGTGGGGCTAGGAGAGAGAGAGAGAGAAAGGGAGACCTGTAGTATAGTGTCATAAAGGAGAGTTGCCTTGAACACTTGACAAGAACACTTTGCAGAGCTGGGCATGGTGGCTCACACATTTAATCCCAGAAATTGGGAGGCAGAGGCAGAAGGATCTCTGTGAGTTTGAGGTCAGCCTGGTCTATAGAGCTCAATAAACCAGGGAAAGACCCTAACCCCCCCCAAAAAATTGTTCAGGAATGGGATTTGGTAGCATTATTCAGTAGTTAACAGTTAAATGTTGGCTCAGCTGGTTTATGGAACAGAGACCCAGATGACCCCAGACTCAGTCACTCTTGTGGCTCCCGTCTCCAGTTCTTTTAATCTTGGCCAAGACAGCAGCCTTAGACACTCTCTTCCTGTCATAAGCCAGGCCCAGGGCAGCCATGCAGTCGATGAAGAACGTGGTGAAGCTGATGTGCCAGCGGTACTCACTGGCAGAGTAGTCATAGGGAAAGGTGTGGTGGTAGTTGTGGAAGCCCTCACCTGGAAACAAGCAAGGAGAGCAGTTAGGGGGCTCCGTGATTGCTGCCACTGCCTCTTTGCACACCAGTGGGTAAGAGAACACTTTGCACACCTCTTACCTGTCATGTACCTCGAGCCTTGAAGAACCCCACTGTTGAAAATAGATGAACCTACAGTATTATAATCTAAAGCTAATAGATGCCCTTGGAAGTATCTCAGGAAATCAGCTGACAGGCTCTGCTCACACACACCTGCCTGGGAGCCTTTGTCAGAGGAAGTTTCTGTCATAAGATGGGAGAGGAGCTGGGCCTATGGGGACAGATTTTGTGGTGGAAAGTATCATCAGTGCTTTAGGGAAAAGGGCCCATGCTCCACAGGGTCTGCACCTAGGTGCCTGTGGCCAGGGCAGGGCAGAGGAGAGGGGACAACTGTAGCTGTGCTTCTTAGATGATGTAAGCCAAACTGCTCCCCAAGAACCACTGTTCTCTCTCAGGGTGGAGGTTCCAACAGGGTGGACAGCTGCTACAAATTTACCAGGAAGGAGTTCTGGCCAATGCCAGGCATTTCCTTAGCCACTCCAGGCTCACTGGAAACTGCACTGGCTGCTAATTCGCTGAGCTTTGACCTTGGGACAGGAGACATTAAGAAAAGAGAACTCTTCAAGCACTCGGACATTCTCTCTACCACTGAGGTCCTGAAACTCCTAGGATGGGTACCCTGTAGGGTAAAGGAGAACAGAAATTCTGGATTCAAGATTATCTCTGCATTCCTCGTGGATTCTCCTGCTCTCTGCATGGCTCTTCTTTCTGAACTGATTCCAACAATACTGGCCCTTTTCAGGTTGAGGGAGACGGTGACCAAGAAAAGGCACTGAACCCCTGAAGATCAAATCACCCCTAGAAGAAGTCAGAAGAGTAGAAAGAATGCTAAGAGCCAGAGAAAGTGGTGGGCAAGGGAGTGGAATACTGTTTTCTGGGTGTGGCTGCGGCAATCCGGAACTCACGGCAGCTGTGATTTAACTGTGATTTAACAAGATCTGTACAAGACCCGGCTGGTCAACATTCCACCATGGCAAATGGAAGGGCTCATGGGACCCCATCCTCCCCTGAGGATTTATTTGCAGCTAAAGTTTGAGGAGGTGTAGTGGTGGAGCCAATTACCAGTGCCATGCTTCTCAGAGTAAATGTTCACCTTGCACTCCTGTGAGCCCCCAGATAAAATCATCAGGCCACAGACACACAGAAAGGAATTAAAGTAGGAGGACTGCTTAGGACAAGGAAGGAGATTAGCAGGAATGGAAGGGGGCAAGAAGGAGTAAAGGGGTAAGAATAAAGGGGTACACTCATCATTATATGTAATTAATATATACTAATTAAAACATTTTTAAGTTAAGAAAAACAGTCCAGGTTCTGGAGAGAGGCTTAGGAGTTAAAAGCACTTGCTGTTCTTGCAGAGGGCCTTGATACAGATCTTGGCACTCACATGGTAGCTGAAAACCATCTGTAACTGCAGTTCCAGGGGACCTAACACCCTCTTCTAGCTTCTACAGGCAAAACACATGGCGTACACCACACACACACAGGCAAAACACATGGTGTACACCACACACACACAGGCAAAACACATGGTGTACACCACACACACACAGGCAAAACACATGGTGTACACCACACACACACAGGCAAAACACATGGCGTACACCACACACACACAGGCAAAACACATGGCGTACACCACACACACACAGGCAAAACACATGGTGTACATCACACACACACAGGCAAAACACATGGTGTACACCACACACACACAGGCAAAACACTCAAGCACATAAAATAAATATTTTTAAAAATATCCCCCAAAGCAGAGCCTAGAGCACATTTTTTAATCCCAGCACTCAGCGGGCAGAGTTAGGCAGATCTCTGTAAGTTTGAGGCCAGCAGGGTCTACATAGTGAGCTAGGCCAACCAGAGCTACCATGTGAGACCCTGACTAAAAAGTAAGACCAAAACACTCCTGAAGATAATGGGAGTTATATAGAAAACAAAAACAGTGAAGGAATTCCTGCCAACCAAACAGTTCCAACCAGGACTTCTCAAGGGACGTACTCCTGTGCACTGGGCTGTGTGTGGTGTGGCTAAGATACTGACACGAGGCTGCTAACCTCCACACATGCTTTCACAGAGAGTCTTGGTCATCTTTGTCAAAGAATATGGGCCTATGACCATGAGAAAGGTAACTAAATAAAACAAAAAGATTAGGGCAGTCAAGGAAGAGGTGAGAGGGACAGAAGAGGAGAATAACAGCAGAGACAAAGCAAGAGACTGGCAGCCACTTTGAGCTCACCAGGACTCTGGAGTTGGGGACACATATCAGCCTATGGTATGCCATTCTATGAAAATCTCAGAATTTTATAGAATAGGTGTTTTTTTTTTTTCAAACACAGGTCAAATGAGACTACATACAATGGGGGATGCATCAGAAAGCCAGGGGAAGGGTCAGGAAACGATAGCAGTGTGGCACAGTTGAGGATGACTGAACTAGGTTTCTGTTATTTTTTCCTACACATGCAGCAGGCTTACATATATAAATCGTTATGCTTTCCTGGCCTCTCTGTTGGTGCTACTGTTCTTCTATTTATACATCTGCTGTTCCCCAGTAAGATGCAGCCTAACTCAGAAACGACTGGAAAAGGAGGAGTTAAAGGGACTCGATCATAAGCCGGGCAGTGGTGGCTCACGCCTTAAATCCCAGCACTCAGGAGGCAGAGGCAGGCGGATCTCTGTGTGAGTTCTACAGAGTGAGTTCCAGGACAGCCAAAGAAAAGCCCTGTCTCGAAAAACAAAACTAAACAAACAAAAAGGGCTCAGTCGCAATTGATGATGGTTTGGGAAATTGAAATCAATGGATTAGCCCTCATTTTGGAGTGGAAACCTAAGATCCAAAGTAATCATAAAAGTAGGTTATAATCTGGAATCTCTGGCTTAGCCTTAAAGCTCTAATCAATAACCCACCTCTAATAGTCTTGATGTAAACCGATGACTTACCCAAAGATGCCACTGAGACCAGGACATTCTCTCGGGCGCCAATATTCCTGTCATATGGCCGATATCCATAGAGGTGGGCAGCGCTGTTCACCAGCCAGGTGAAATTGAGAATTATAGCATACCGGAGGAAAGTAGCAATGCATAAGCTGTGTTGAAACGTTTCACCCCAGAAGTACCAGGGCACCAGTGTGGGCAGGACGATGCAGATGAGCACGACAGCTGGCTTGTAGTACCTGTGTGGAGAGATCACACACTGAGCCTGTGGAGAGGGGCGGCAAGCAGACTTGAGAGGTCCACATTCATTGGGCTGGACTGTCTGTTCTACACTGTGAACACAGGAGGGGTATATGTTCTCTCTCTCTCTCTCTCTCTCCTCTCTCTCTCTCTCTCTCTCTCTCTCTCTCTCTCCCACACACACACACACACACACACTGTATGTGAGCGTTTTGCCCGCATGTATCGCAGATGTACAGGTACCCCAAGAGGTCAGAAGAAGGCATTGTATCTTCTGGAACTGGATTTACAAGTTGTGAGCCAGTATGGGGGTGCCAGAAATTGAACTTGGGTCCTTCCATTGAGGCATCTCTCCAGTCTTCTACCCACCCAGGCCAAGCAGCGCCAGGTGGGCCTGTTGTGGAATATTAGTTTACACTGTAAAGATGTGTCTCTGCCTAAGGCACCCTCTGACTGTTGTAATAAAAAGCTGAATAGCCAAAAATAAGCAGGCAGGAGGCATAGGTGGGATTTCCTGGGAGAAAAAGGAAGAGGAGGAGGAATCTAGGAGCACATGAGATGCCAGGATACACGGAGAGGAAACAGGAGGTACAGGACAGAAGAGAGGTAATGCCACACGATAGAACGTAGATTAATACAAATAGGTTAATTTAAGTTACAAGAGCCAGTTAGGAACAGGAGCTTCCATAATTAATAAGAAGTCTCAGTGTCATTATTTGGGAGTTTCTTGGCAGGACAGAAAAAGACTCGTTACATGGGCCTGTGGGTATCTTTAGTCAGCTTGGACCTTGAGGTGCCAGGTGGGCTTGTGGGTGTCATCCACCTGTCCAGTCATCCCTCCATCCTTATCTTTAGATGAGGAGTACTGGTGGAACTTGGGTTAGGTCGTGGGTCTGATGACTAGAAATCCATTGTTTATTTTCACAAAGTGTAAGGGCATGTTGGCCAAACAAGTCAGGATGAAGCCACAACTCATTGGCTAAGTTCCACTGCCTGGGTTCTCCAGTTGCCTTTGGGATGCTTTCTTGTGTCCAACTCCATCTTTGACACAGAATGTGTGACAAGCATCCGTTTCCTGCTACCATCCCCAGATCTCCCTCTGCTTTCCAAGAGGCACACCGAGCGCCCTCCACCAGCGGCAGCTCTGTCCTTTTGGAGGCTTTACTCACTCCGTTCCAGACCACTGACAATCCAAGGGAATTGACTAATACCTGTTAAGTACTCTCATATTCAACTTGTACCTTGTCTGCATCCAGTTCCTTCCCTTTCCATCCTTACCTTCACTGGCCGGGGTCTTCCACATCTAACTTGTTTCTCTGACCTTCCCCTGTCAATCAAAGGCTGCTTTCACCTGTATTTCACCTCTCTGAAGCATATCTCTGCCCCATGATGTCAAGAGCACTCTTCACGGAGGTCTGTTTCTAGTGTCAGCTTTAGCTGGTCTTGGGCACTCTGTTTGTGTTGTCCCTGCCCACACACAACTGTCAGAATCACTTGTTTCTGGGGCTGCTTTTTACCATAAATCTTCCCTTGTGTTCCTACTAAGCAATCTGAAATGAACCTTTCACAGAATAGACAGTATTCTTTCTGCCTTGCTTCTGGTTATTTTCCATATATACCTGCCTAGGCTGCAGGCCTTTTGAAAAAAAGGACTCCACTATTTCTACTATTGTGTCCATGACTATTCTAGGTCAACGAACATTGGTTGCATTCAATTTGTTTCATGGAAATATCTTAGAGAGAAAGGAGAAAGCAATACTGGTGCTTGTGGGCCTATGAGACATTAGTGAATTTTGTTTTAGAACAATTGTGAGTATGTAAACAGAGTAAAATCCTTCAGCTCTTATTTAATGTGTTCTATTTAAAAAGTAGGGTTCCTAAACACCAGATGTCTGGGGCTCCACGCCCCTCTCCCCAACTCACCTCCTCTGGAACATGACCAGTTTATCAGCTTTTAAGTCAGACATGTCCAGTTTTCTGCCCTTCTCTTTGACAGCCGGGTGTTTGCGCACAAGCAGCCAGCCCACGTGAGAGAAGAAAAAGCCGCGTCGGGAATCATGAGGGTCAGCGTGTGTTTCTGAGAACTTGTGGTGGACCCGGTGATCTCGGGCCCATTCATACACGTCATTCTGGAGGGACAGGAAAGAGGACCCCAGGATTGAGAAGAGAAGCCCTCCTGGGGGAGTGCAAGGGCCTGCTGAAGTCTAAAGTTCTTTCAGTTGTTTTTGTTATAGCTTTGCCTCAGCAAATAGTTGGCTTACCCAGAGTGACAGTCACTCATAAGACCATGGTGTTCACCTGTCCAGCCTCTTGGTGACCAAGTGCAAAATGGGGCCCAATCTCCTAAGACATTTTTGGGGGATTTAATAAGTTCATCTATGTCACAAATGCTGGCATTCTGCTTGCCATTGAAGTGTTCTTATTACCTGCAGCAGAGTCCCCAAGTCCGTGGCATATTACTTTTGATCCCATTGGGACTCCTAAGATAGACACCTTACAGCATGAGTTTATTGTTCACTGAGTGTTAAAGAAACCAGAGTCAAATCAGGCAGTGGTGGCGCAGGCCTTTAATCCCAGCACTTTGGAGGCAGAGGCAGCTGGCTCTCCAAGTTCAAGAACAGCCTGGTCTACATAGCGAGTTCCAGGATAGCTGGGCTACACAGAGAAATCCTGTCTCAAAAAAAAGAAAAAAAGAAAAAACCCCACAGAAACTAGGGTCAGTGATTGGCTAACTTAACTCATACGTTAAGCTGAGCAACCACAGCAGAGCAGCCCATGTTACACGGGGAACTCAGGGAAAATAGTGGCCCTATAAATGGAGGTCTTCCAGTTAACTCCCATTTCCGATCCTCCTAATTCTGAGATGTCCCATGCTGTGGGGACCTCCCTCAGCATTGAGCATGCCCCTGTGACTATGGGAAAATGAGAAGGATAATGGCTTCTCTGTTGGCTCCTCTTGAGGTGTTGCACACCCCCTCCCAGCCTTCACAGGGTAGACACAGAGCCTCAGTGGGCAGCTTCTCACCTGGAAAGCCATGGTGTTGGCCACGATGAGGAAGAGACGCATGGGCAGCCGTGCTTTGTAGGTTCGGTGGCTCCACAGGCGATGAGCCCCCGCGGTGATGCCCAAAGCGGCAACTATATTGTAGAGTAGTCCTATCAGGAGACAGCAGAGAAGTCACCAACCATTTCGGGTCCCATCGGGCCAAGGGTGGAAGGACCCTTTACTGACTCTCTAGTCTGCTGTTTCATCAGAAGTTAGTAAGATCCTTTTCCCTGTACCCTGGCATGCCTCAGCCTTGTTATCTTGTGGCCTTGAACACTTGAGTACCCATTATGCCTCCAACTCTATATCTAGAGATGGAGGTAAGCTCAGAAGTCCCAGAAAGAAAGAAATGATTCAAGACAGGCAACAGGACTCTCACTGTCCGTCTGTGGGGGCAGTACCCCTGAGCCTGTCAACTCTGACCTTCCTCTAAGTTGCTCAGGGCCACAGCTTAGTCCCTCAGTGCCTTGAAAAACAGCAACCACAGAAATTTGGTTTGATCAATTAAAACAACCCCACATTTTAAGAGATACCAAGGAATCACAGGTCTGTGCCAACTCACTAGCTGCGACAACAGCATTTCAATATGATGGCAGGCAACATGCCCATCTCAGGCCAAGTCAGTCCTACACAGAGTTATGTTTTCACAGTGGCCCAAGCCTTACCAAGAAAATTAAGATTTTCACAATTACTGCACACCTTGGATGGGAGGTGTGATCACTTCTGCATCTTGAAGAAGTAGATCATAGAAAAGGTTAAGTGTTTTTACCCAGAATCTCACTGTAGCAAAACTGTAGCCATCGGCTAAAGCTAAGTTTTCTGTTAATAAGGCACTGTTCCAGCTCTGCCATCCATCCCCCAAGATCCCAAACCTCTTTCTCCTTCACCAGGTTCTTCTGTCAGTCTGGATGCTTGCTGCTAATACAATGTTGGGTACCACTTAAGCTGGCAGCTGGTGGTGCCTATATTAGGGCATCAACTCTGTTACGTTGCATAGTGGACTAAGGAGGGTTGTCACGTCCTACCTCACTGTCTTTGAAGTCAAAGTCTTAGAAAGTGTGATTGTTAATAGGGAAGCAAGAAGTCTCCCCTTGCTCTGTCCCCTAACTAAGGCTGTACCCATGAGGAGTTGGAGGAGACTTTCAACAGTGCTTCACTCCTGTGGGCAGCTGGAAACCATGGCTCCTTGGAGGCCACAGAGGGTAGTTCAGGTTGAAGGCACAATACATTGTATAAACTGTCTTGTGTCCTTCCCAGAAATGGCAGTTCCCCAAACAGCCTCTGCCCTATCCTGACACATCCCATTCTTTCTTGGGATCACCACAGAGGCCACAGAGCCAGTGTGCAGCCAGGGAAAGTTCTGTCCTTCTGAGCTGGGAGCAGACCTCAGTGGTTTGCTGCTTGTGGTTGTGTTTAGATTGAGCTCTTGCCACGGGTATGATCTGACCCTGAACCACAGAGGAGCCAGAGTCTTGCAATCACAGGAGGAAAGAAAGGGCTGTGGCCAAAGCAGAAGCCCTCAGTGTGGCACCCAAAAGTGCCCGTGTTAGCTTCACGTCACAGGTGTCCCTAACACATTGGCTTTGCAAGCACAAACAGTGAATACAAGGGGATTTCGACAAGAACTGAAACACTGTGTCCTGTCTTTCTCAACCCACTGACTGCCATATAGACAGCTCAGTTCAAATAGATTAGACCCATGACTCCCAGGGGAGGGTTGCTTGTGGCCATAGTGGTCATTAAACAACATTTGGAACATTGTTCTAAGAAGTGGGCTAGAGGGGCTGGAGAAATGGCTCAGTGGTTAAGAACACTGGCTCCTTTTCCAGAGGTCTCAAGTTCAATTCCTAGCATCCACAAGTTGGCTCACAACCATCTATAATAGGATCTGATTCTCTCTTCCGGTGTGCATGAAGACATGTCACATAAAATAAATAAATGATTTAAAAAAAAAAAAAGAAGTGGGCTAGAGGTTTCCCCCCTCATCTCTTCATGTTAACATCCCTGAAGGACAGAAGTCTCTCAAAGTAGCTGAGTGAGGAGAAAGGCTGGAAAAACACACAACTAACCTAAGGGATGTGACCTTCCTAATCATGACAAAGCATTACTGTCCCCATTTGGTACCTGGAAAACTGTGTTCCTGAGGAAAGGGTTCTCCTCTTGTGTTTGCCTGGCACCTACAGTTAAGATGAAGTTCTGAGGACCAGAGCTCACCTGCTGGAGGTACTGAGAGGCTGAGAGCAGGGGCAGCCAACACCTGGCAGCCAACTTCTACACCACTACCCTTGCAGAGGTAGCTACCAGAAGAGTCCTGTGTCTTCCAGAGAGGGACCCCTGGCTCGCCATTCCTCAGAGGACAGTAAGGGGCCCTGCCTTCAGAGTCCTATCCCCTCTTCCTGATCCAGGAATCAGGGGTCAGAGGTTAAACCACCTGAAGCACAGGTGTGTGTCCGGGGACAGCCCTACACCAGCCCACACCCATGGATTCCCGAGGGGCTGAGCTAACAGGTAAGGGCACAGTGGTAACTGTCTTCCTTGTTACAGAAGCCTGATGCCCAGGGTTTCTCAAGTCTCTATTCTCTGTGCCTGGCTGTCCTTGGCAAGGAGGGGTGGATAGGAGACAGGAACAAATGTTAAAAGGTTCTCAACCCTTTGTCCTACATGGTCTCTGGAGACAGGGCAGGAACTAGCTGCCCAGGGAATGGAAAATGAACCCTTTCTGAACCTCCTTTTTTTTCATTTTAAGAATATCTTGTTGACTGACAGGACCTACCTGGAGCAACAGAGACACACAGCTATGCACTTAGGCTGTTTGGGGAGCCTGCCTCACCTTTCTCCAAGTCAAACACGCATGGCTTGGCCAGAATCATGTACAGATACTTATTGTGAGTTACCCTTTCTATGTGTTCCTCTCCAACGATCTCCTCTAAACAGTTTCCCCTTGCTCTGTCTCCTGACTAAGAAAATAGCCCATGGGGCCTCTGATTAGGCTCTCATGCCTCTCAGCAAGGGCCTTGGTTTTCTTATGGCAGGCAATGCTGAGATGGGAAGCTGTTTTAACAGAAAAGCTCTTCCAGACACTGCCAATTCTTTGCTATACATTTGTCCCCCACCATTCATATTAACAACCATGCTAAAGGACTCCCAGAACTGACACTCCTGAATCCCAATCCCATGAGGCTCTGTTCCCAGTCTAGTTATCAGTATCTTAGGAAATGAAGAGGCGATTCAAAAAATCTGGACAGAGAGCAGATACGTCTCTTGGTCAGAGTCTATCTCATTCAAGAGTAGGGAGAAAGCTGGGTTACTGCCTCGGGACAGAAGGCTTGGGCGATTACCGAAGAGCCAGGTGTAGACCTTGCTGGAGGGAACCAGTGTGATCCCATACAGGGCCCCCAAGTGCAGCAGGGCCATGAGGAAGATGTTTCTCCAGACGTACTCCAGCTTGGGCGGGGGCCCCTCCTCATCTTGGTAGCTGGGGTCGTGTATATCTTCTTTCATTTCAGGGCGGATGTCTTCCGTGTGGAGGGGCATCTTCTCCACTTTCTCTTCTCTACTCTGCTGACCCCGGGAGTGAGGCTCCATGATGGTGGTGGTAGCAAAGTTGCTGGGGATCTTCAGAGAGTGGGGGTGGAGAGTCAAGAACAGGTGCATGAGGGTACCAAGGGGTCTATTTCCCCTGTAATACAGCCAAGGACAGGTGCATGAGGGTACCAAGGGGTCTATTTCCCCTGTAATACAGCCAAGGCAGTAGAGGCACAGACCCTAGTCCTGGAACCCAGATCGTATGAACATAGAGCACACCCCTAGATGGAACAGAGAAAAGTTCCCAGAAACTACACACAATGTGTTAACAATAAAACCTCAAGGTAGCAGGGCAGTGGTGGCATATGGCTTTAATCCCAGCACTCCAGAGGCAGCAGCAGGTGGAACTCTGTGAGTTCAAGGCCAGCCCGGTCTACAGAGCTAGTTCCAGGATTGCTAGGGCTGTTACACAGAGAAACCCTGTCTCGAAAAACCTAATAATCAATCAATCCTCAAGTTGAAGGGGCAGGGGTGGGGGTAAAATATTTGTACCTCAACATATAAAGGAAAATGCACATGGATGCAGAAAGGTACTGGCTGGAAGGGCCTTAAAGTCAACTGCCAAAACAAACTCCATATTCCTCATTTGGAGGTTATACAAACCCCAAAGATGTTCACAATGCCTCTGTTGGTCTCAGGTCTGGCCCCTACAGACCACTCATCAGAATCCCACCTGGTGCCAAAGATCCTGTACTGGGGGTTGGGGGGAGTCGTTGGTGAAAAGCTGACCTCTTGTGGCGAGTAGGCCGCCATCTCTGCTCCCTGGAAGCCTAAATCCAGGAGGCCTGGAAGTTCCGAAGGCTTCAAGTGCAGTTTGGAATCTGGTCTGCAGCGACTGGAGGATGGATGGAACTTGGAGTCCAGAAGTCACCGTGTGCCTTGTACCTGGCTAGCTGCACAGGTGTCACACTCGATCCTGCTGTGTGTGGATCTGTCCAGGCTCGGGAGGGATTTAAAGGGTAGGTAGAGCTAGCAGTAGGTGACTGTGTCTGGTATTTGCTCAGACATGCTGCATGTCTGCCAACAAGGGATAAAGTGTTCAGACGAAGGCTGAAGGTGACAGAGGGGAGGGGACAGCCAGCAAAGCATGCAGTCACCTAAGGTGAGGCCATGGGGTACCGCACATAGTAAGAGAGACTCACCTTTGTTCCAGTTCCCTGAGAGAGAGAGAGAGAGAGAGAGAGAGAGAGAGAGAGAGAGAGAGGGCCAGGGGAATTTGTTGCTTTCTTGCCTTCCCAGCTTTGGCACCCAGAAATCTGCTGTCCCCCTGTAAGACAGCCCTTTGTTCCTCTTTCCTTGGTTTTACATCTATAGACCCTGGGTTCCTTCCAGTGTCTTGGCCAGGAGAAGCTGGAGTCCAGTTCTCATGCTTCAGAGTGTGCCCAAACGGTTCTCAAGATGGAAGAAGTCCGAGTTTTGGGTAAGAGCTGTCTAAGCTCAGGACTGGCATGGGTGCTTGGCAAATGTGTCACACTGGGGCGATTGCACAGTGGGGACCTCTCATTGGTGCCCTTCATAGTTCTTTCTGCTCACCAGGTGTAGTGGGGGGGGGCTGGCCTCCACCCCTAGATCTCGAAACAAGAGCAGGTGCATAGCCGCCTTCTTTCTTAACACCAAAGGCCACAGTGGCTCTTTCCCGCCCACATCCTCAGGATACTCACCAGCAATCCAGAAGGCTCTGGCCAGCTCACACCACACCTACAGTCACATGCACAGAGCTGAGTGCCCGAGCCCACGCTCAGTCACAGGACATGTTTCACGGGGGACAGCCACCTCCAGACATTAGTATCCAATCCCTTCCCTATGTGCCTGCCTCCAGAATATCTGCTTCAGCAGGGAGGTGTGAAGACTCTTCCATCAGGTTGGAATTTGGGAGTCTTCTGTAAAGAAAAGGCAGGAGTCCCAGCCAGGTGTCTACAAGATGCAGAGGGGCAAACATTTGTGTGTGGGATAAGAGCAGTGAGCAGGTGGTGAGTGATTCTTTTTTTCTCATGACAGGGTTTCTCTATGGCTTTGGAGGCTGTCCTGAAACAGTCTTGTAGACCAGGCAGGTCTCAAACTCACAGAGATCCGCCTGCCTCTGCCTCCTGAGTGCTGGGCTTAAAGGCATGCGCCATCACTGCCCAGCTGTGTTGAGTGATTCTTACAAGCTAACCTAAAAACTTTTGCTAAAGGCTCCCCATGATTCCATTTTAAGGAGGGGGAGATTAAGATATGGAGATATAAGCTAATTTGCCCATGATCCCAGGAGAGCTAGAAACTGATCACAGAACTGTGATACCAGGGCCCAAGCTCTTAAACCCTGCTTAGAATGGTGCTGCTCTAGAACCCCAAGACAAATAGACTTCACAGCGCATCCTCGCTAGCTCCATGGCAGGACAAGGAAGCTCAAACTGGGGGCTGTGCATTCACCGGGTCTCTTGAGACAGACACTTCTTTTTTCCTAGGCAAAGGAAACTATATGAGGGCAAGCTTGTCCAACTTCTTACTCTGAGAAAGCTTCCCTGACCCCCTCCATCCCTGCCTTTCTTGTCAAATGGTGGGGGACTCCACTGTTCATTTTGCTTTCCCACACACTTTGCTTTGTTTACAATTTTATTTTAACAGGTATATTGGGAACTGTTGGCACTGAGTGTCGTGGCTCATGTCTGTAGTCCCAGTACTTGGGAAGCGGAGGCAGAGTCAGAGGCAGGATGATCTCCATGAGTTTGAGGCCAGCCTGGTATATAGTGTTTCAGGACAGCTAGGGCTGTACAGAAAAGCTCTATCTGGGCAACCCCCCTCCCCCCCACACACAAACTGTTTGCAAGCACATCTCACCTATCTATAAACCATAAGCTTCCTTTATGGCAGGAGTCCCGACCTTCCTTTGCTTTCTCTGGCTCATTACAGAATTTCTCACAGGCATTAATTATTCAATAAACACTTCCCAAAGAAGAGAGATGAGTTAAGAGATAGGATGGCGAACCAGAGAGTATTATAATTTGCTTGAAATCCAATTCGTATATGAGAGCTGAAGAAAGCTACTACAGTAATTGTAAAAGTAAGTGTGGCATTGTCTAGTGCTAGTGAGGAAGTAGAGAAATGAAAACTTGAACACTGCTTATGGGCCTGGAAGTGTCTCCGACTGAAGAACAATCCATTAGCACCTAATAAAGCCAATGTACATACTCAGTCATCCAGAAATTCCCACTCCCGACAAACTACTTTCTACAGTAACTTTAATTGTGGCAGTGTTTGTGTTTTTTGTTTGTGTGTACCTTTTGCTGCACTAGGGATCAAGCTTGTGGCCTTGCACCTGCCAGGCGAGCGCCCTACAACTGAACTATACTCCCCAGCTCCTGGTTTTTCAAGAGAGTTTCACTATGTAGCTCAGGCTAGCTTGGAACATCGAATCCTCCTGCCTCAGCAAGAGTATTCCTCAACTTGGAATTTCATGGGGTTTGTATTGTATTTTTTAAGGGAAAAGCACAGAGCAGCAGTTCAACACTCCAACACACAGTTGGAAGAGATTACCAGCAACTAGGTCAAACAATTAGATCTCACAAGTCACAAGCCCCATGAGTGAGAGCCTTAATACCAGCAGGGTCATCAATTTGAGGACACACTGGGCTACAAAGCCAGACTCTAATTCAAAAACAAAACTTAAAATCCTACTCAGCACTTGGGAGGCAGAGGCAGCTGGATCTCTATGACTTTGAGGCCAGCCTGGCCTGTGAAGTAAGTTCCCGGCCAGCCAGGGCTACATAGTGAGAATCTAACATTTACAAAAGATACTTTTAAACTCCAGTATTTAAATTAGTCATTAAATAAACATGGAATGGAGAAGACCCAGGGTGACTGTTCACAAGAAGAAGGACAACCATAACTTAATAAAAACTCATAGTAAGTGTTCGGAATATTGTCTTTAAAAAGTGGTATATCGGGCTGGAGAGATGGCTCTGCAGTTAAGAGGACTCTCAGCTCTTGCAGAGGACCTGGCAAGGCCACACTCATTAACAGCCTCCCTGTCACCAGGGAATCTTTAATAATTGAGAGGCTGCCGAGCACAGGACCACTTAAAATGTTTCTAAACTCACTTGAAAGCTCAAAAGTTATTATTTGAATATTGAAGCCAGGAGCTTTGCTCTACCACATGGTAACTCTGTGTTACCAAGGGCTAAAGACCATGGAGCTGACTATGGACCAATACCTCTGAAATCATAGTCCCAATAAAACTTCATCAGGTGAGCTGATTTTGTTATTGTGATGGACTAACACACTGGCTATCATTCTTCCATGTAACAAGGACATTATGTGACTTAGTCATTGCTCTATTACTGTGAGGAAATACCATGACCAAGAGAACTCATAAAAGAAAGCATTTAGTTGGCGGCTAGCTTACAATTTCATCATGGTAGGGAACATGGCAGAAGGCAGGCATGATGCTGGAGAAGTAGCTGTTGCAGGAATAATAAAAATCCAGAGACAGATATTGGGGTTCAAGATGAAGATCAGAAAGGCAAAGCAGCCATTCAGAAGCTCTTACCTGAAATGGAGATCCTGTCTTCCTTGTAACTGGAAACTGAATCTTCCATGAGACCCTTTGCTTCTTCGTTTTATACTTCTCTAGTGCTGGGATTAAAGGCGTGAGCTCTGTTTTACTCTTTGAGAGTGATTCACTCTTGTGCAGCCCTGGGTGGTCTTAGACATAGCGATTCATCAGCCTCTGTCTCCTGAGTCCTGGGATTAAAGGTGTGCACCACCACTGCCTGACGTCTATGGTTAGCTAGTGTGGCTAGCTTTGCATTCTGATCCCCAGGCAAGCTTTATTAAATCATAAACAATACATCACCATAAGTAGCTGAGAGCTACATCCTGATGTACAGGCAGGAGGGAGACACACACACACATACACACACACACACACACACAGAGAGAGAGAGAGAGAGAGAGAGAGAGAGAGAGAGAGAGAGAGAGAGAGAGAGACGGCCTGGCGCATGGGCTGCTGAAACCTCAAAGTCCGCCTCCAATGACATGCTTCTCCAACAAGGACACACCTAACCCCTCTAGCCTTTTCAAACAGTGACTAAGCATTCATATATATGAGCCTAAGGGGGTCATTCTTATTCAAACTTCCACATTATGGGGAAAAAAAAAAAACGAGTCAATTCAGTTCACAACTAAAATGATCACGTTTCCACTCACGATGACCATACATCCTTGATTCGGAACGGAAACCCTTGTGTACACCTCTGTGTCCTGACACAGACCTTTAAAAAGATGTGCTATAAAGGGTCAAGACTGAAGTCTCTGAATGATTGCTTCTTTAATGCGGACCATCAGAACTGTCGTTGAACCCTCAGCATGTGGTGGCGAGGGATATGGCAGCACAAGGCCTCTGGCACTGCTACCTTGATCCTGTCACGGCAGACTTCACCCATTGTTGCTTTGGTTCCATCAATACAGATGTCAACATTTGGTGGTTGTGCTGGCTAGCTTTATGTCAATTTGACACCGGCTAAAGTCATCTGAGAGGAGGGAGCCTCAGTTAAAAAAAAAATGCCTCCACACCTGGCTATGGTGGTGCCCACCTTTAATCCTAGCACTTGGGAAGTAGAGATAGGAGGATCACAGTGAATTTGAGGCCAGCCTGGTCTACAAAGTGAGTTCCAGGAAAGCCAGGACTGTTACTTAGAGAAACCTGAGACAGAGAGAGAGAGAGAGAGAGAGAGAGAGAGAGAGAGAGCCTCCATAAATCTGGCTGTGGGCAA